CTGGTTGGTGTTTGGGGTTTCTGGTTGGTGTTTGGGGTTTCTGGTTGGTGTCTGGTTGGTGTTTGGGGTTTCTGGTTGGTGTTTGGGGTTTCTGGCTGGTGTCTGGTTGGTTTTTGGGATTTCTGGTTCTCCTCCGCAGCAGGAGCCAGGCTTGGATTGCTCAGGCAGAACCAGAGGCTGTTCCTGTCTGTGTCTGGCCGAGAGCTGGGCACAGCCTGAGCTCAGAGGGGCGAAAAGCTTTAACTGAAATGTTCCCCACAGGGGACAGAGCATCAGCCACAGCAGGTGGCACCCGATGGGTGTGATATTCCAGTGATATCCCATGAGAGCTCAGGGGCGGTGCCTTTGCGAGTGACACAATCTCATCCAGGGATGAAGCTCAGGGTGAGTTTTGCCGTGGTTTCTGCACGCAGGGAACCTCTGAGCCAGCTGAGTGCTTTCCTGGGAAGGCCTGGGTAGGACAGGGGGTCCCTGCTCTGGCCACCATCTCCTTGGCTCTGGCCACCATYTCCTTGGCTCTGGCCACCATCTCCTTGGCTCTCTGGACGCCAAACCCAGCTCCAAAATCTCGCTGTGCATCAGCTCCACACCCCAGGCGGGAGAACGAGCTCCTCCATCCCTAAGCCAATCCTAAAAGCTGGGATAACCCTGCCCCTACAGGACTGTCCAGACACCCAAACTGGACATTACCCTTCTCAGAACCTCGCCAACCATGCCTGTCCAGTTGCCCCCGGCYGCCACAGCCCCGTATTTGCCGTCTGCCACCACTTTGACGCGGTACTGGAAGCGCAGCATCGCCGCCAGGGCTGCCAGCAGGTCCATGCAGTATCCCTCCAGCTCCGCTCCCCGCACCATCACRTACGGATCCTCCTGCCAGGAGCATCATCAAACAGTCCCTCGGTTAAATTTCAGTTAGATTACTTGAGGTAAAATAATATTAAAAAAAAAAAAAAATAAATAAAAAAAGCACCAAGCTCCAAAATGTAATTAATTTAAGTGAGAATTTTTTATCTTTTCCCGGAGTTATGGGATATTGTTCAGGGGGATTATTCATCTAGTTATAAATGTTTTAAACTGACAAGGTCAAGGAAAAAAACCCTTTTTCTTTCTGTACTGGGGAAAAAGCTCATGCTCCTTCCTCCCTGACAACACCAATGACAATGACACCACCTGACAGCCAATTTCAAAAGCATAACAAACATATTTATGCAAATAGCAAACCACTGAAACTGAATTAAAGCAAAATAGAGAAGTTTTAGGAAATTAGAGTCACCCAAAACACTGTGAGAAGCAGGGACAGAGGTGCCAAATCCACCCAAAATACCAAGAGGAAGAGGGACAGCGGTGCCAAATCCACCCAAAATACCAAGAGGAACAGGGACAAGGTGTCAAATCCACCCAAAATCCCAAGAGGAACAGGGACAGTGGTGCCAAAGCCACCCAAAGCACCACCTGCCCACAGCTGGATGGGTACAAAGGGCAGAGTGCCATCCCTGCTGCTCCCTGTCACTGTCACAGCCTTACCAGGATCGTTGTGACAGTCAGGGTGGGGAGCCCCTCGCCCACTCCCCTGGAGTCAGCACCCTGAAAAGCAGAAAATGAAAAAACGATTATATTTCAGTCAGATTTTTTTTTTTTTTCAGACAGGGCCCCACCAGGCTGGGGCTCGCCTTGGGGTAACCCCAGGGATGGAAGGGCTGTGCCTGGGATAAACCAATCCTAAACCTGCCCMGTGAGCTGCCGTGATTGATGCTGGTTCCTAATTAATAAATCACAGCGTTTCACTTTACTGCCTGGTGCAAACAAAAATCGCTCCAAATGTTGCCACAGTTCTTCAGATGGTTCGCACAGCCTCCCCCAGAGACCAATTCATGCTGCAGACAAAAGAATTAGCAGCCAATTAAGGTCTCATTAGAGAGCAATTCCAGGAGACGCAGAACAGTTGGAAACCTGAGAGGAGGAGGAGAGGAAAAYGTGGATTCACTCCTGTGATCTCTGAATTAAAGAGAACATCTTCCAATTTCCCAGAGCCACTTCAGAGAAGTTGAAGCTTTTTTCAGTGAAGCATCGAATTCTGTGAATTCGAATCTGTTTATTCTGAAATTATGGAGTGGTTTTTCTAGACTGAGAGGATCTGTATATGCGTGTGAATATATAAATACATAAATATTAATAAATAGATATATAGATATAAAATATATAAATATATAAATATATAAATATATAAATATATAAATATATAAATATAGAAATATAGAAATATAGAAATATAGAAATACAAAATGTAATATATAGATAGATAAATACATAAATCTTAAAAATACATAAATATATAGATATATAGATAGATAAATATATAAATATATATAAATATCTGCAGTACAAGATCTGCAAAAGAAACCTCAGTCCTCCCAGGAGCCAAGTGATTTTGGTTTAATTCTCTCTGGGCAATGGAAGTGTTTGAGGGATGAGCTTTGTTTTGGATGATCACAAGTTCCCCGACTCCACCAGCCATGAAGACAGGGCTGTTGGAAGGTTCTTCCCTGGGGCATGACAATTTTTATCTCTAGACCAAAAAAATTGAGTTAAAAGCCCCACAAAAACAAGCAAACAAAACTGGACTCACATCCACCCATAAACAGTGTATTTAAAATAATAACTCTTCACAGATTAAAACCTTCACACATTCTGACCACTATTTCTGATTTAAAAGGTGAGACCATCTGCCCTACGGCTTCGTTAGCAGCTCTGCACTAATGAGCTCGCACATACCTTATTGACAGAGTCATCATTCCTGCCAGCTCCTGCAAAAACACAACAACAACATCACATCGCTGTGGGGCCTCAAAAGCAGCATTTCATACCCTGAAACAATCAGGAGCACCCTCCACCCCAAAATCCCTTTGTTCCCTCCTCCAGGGGAGGCAGAGGGAGTGGAGCTGTGGGAGGTTCTCATGTCAATGATGTCATTAATGACATCATCAATGATGGCAAATAGTGATGTCATTAATGATGGCACTGAATGATGTTAATGATGGAACTTAATTATGTCATGAATGATGTCAGTGAATGATGTCATTGAATTATGTCACTGAATGGTGCCACTGAATGATGTCCCTGAAATATGGTAATGATATAACTTAATTATGTCATTAATTATGTCAATAATGATGTCACTGAATGATGGTAATGATGTAACTTAATTATGTCGCTGAATGATGTCACTGAATTATGTCACTAATGATGTCACTGAACGATGGTAATGATGTAACTTAATGATGTCATTAATGATGTCATTAATGATGTCATGAATGATGTCGCTGAATGACATCACTAAATGATGGTAATGGTGTCATGAATGATGGTAATGATGTCATGAATGATGTCATGGTGTCACGAATGATGTCATAATGATGTCACTGAATGAGGGTAACGATGTCGCGAATGATGGTGATGATGTCACTAATGATGTAATGAATGATGTCACTGAATGCCATCTGAGGGATGGATCCTGCCACACCCAATCCATCCTTTCCCCTGTGCCCTCCCCGAGCAGGAGCAGCCCCAGCTCTTCTCCCTCCTCCCCCAGCCAAGATTTGCCCCCATCCCTGCCAAACCCCATTTTCCCCCGAGAAAAAGCCCCCTGAGCAGYCAAAATCTCCTCACCACCCATTTCCCAGGCACTGGGATTTCTTACTCCTCCTTTCCCCTGCTGCTGGGCAGGTTCTGCATCTCAGATGCAAAATTAAAACCACCATTTTGTCAATATAKTGCTCATTAATTGCCCTGATGATTTTTCTAGAATCTGCTCAGCATTGCTCCTTGGGATCAGAGAATTCACGGTGCAAAAGGCAAAAATCCCTCAAGATAAATGAATTTTTTAAAAAATGCAGGGTGTTTTCACTCTTTCAAGCAAAAACTGTTAGTTTTTCATCAAATACAACAGCATATTCATTCATTATGTATTTATCATTCCTTCTTTGGTGCTGCATGTCCTGGCCTGATGCTGAACCCTACATTGTTGTGAGACAAAACCTGTTTTTCTCCCTCTCCACCACARTTCTCCATGGGGGACTGGAAATCTTCACAAAGGAGTTCTCTTGTCTCCCTTTGGAAACCCTTTAAAGGCAGCAGCAGTAGTTTTTGGAGCCCTTTTTGAGGGCCCGTGGGGTTCCTTGGAAGGCAGCAGAGCGTTCTGAGGGCTCCAGATCCCTGATCAAAGCCCCTTTGTGAGCTCTCCTGGAAGTTCCAGGGGTGCTGGGGCTCCTCACCACCCCCAGTTCATGGTGTTGGAAACAACAAAGCTTTCAAAATGTATTTTATTTCCCTAGTTAGTTTGATTTTCTTTAGGGAAGGGATTTTTTTAAAGAAATTTTTTAGGAGATGAAGTATCACTCTAAGGAGATGGACTTGACTGATCAAAAGACTGGGAGTGACCCAAAAAGATCATCTAAAAATAAAAGGCCACCAAAAAAATATCAACAAAACMTCAGTGGCCATCCASAAACATCTACCCCAGASCCTCTGGCAGRGCTGAAGACATCCAGGCCAGAAAAAAAACTGATAAAGAAAATCAGGRAATGAAGATCTAATGAATATCAGAGGTGAAGAAATTCAGATCCAGTAGGAAAGTGAATATTGGGGGTTGCTCARCTCTGGRCCAATGRACTTTGAAATGYTGCATCTCAATGAGTTTGGACTGSAAAARTTTGAGGGAAAAGCCTGTAAAATCCGTGTGTATGTTTGGCATATTTTCCTTGGCATATCCTGKCCAGAAAATAAAGWAATGCCTGATTCTCTGTACCCTCMAATACAGTGTTAGAGGGTTTTTRTTKYCTYCCSAWTTTTKG